CTTCTCTATAACTGTTTTCTGTTACTTAAAAGCTAGTTTTTTGAAACTTCCTTCCAAAGCTTTTCAACTGTATATGTCCCTTGGAATGAATTTATAAATAGAGATTGAGCCTGGCCAGTGTGACTCAGTGGTTTAGCATCGACCTATGAACCAGGAAGTCACAGTTTGATTCCAGGTCAGACCACATGCCCGGATTGTGGGCTTGATCCCCAGTACGGGGCGTGTAGGAGGCAGCCGATCAATGATTCTCTCTCATCATTGACGTTTCTTTCTTTTTTTAAATATATTTTATTGTTTTTTTACAGAAAGGAAGGGAGAGGGATAGAGAGTTAGAAACATCGATGAGAGAGAAACATCAATCAGCTGCCTCCTGCACGCCTCCTACTGGGGATGTGCCAGCAACCAAGGTACATGGGACCTTGTACCTTGTACCCGGAATCGAACCTGGGACCCTTCAGTCCACAGGCCGACGCTCCATCCACTGAGCCAAACCGGTCAGGGCTCATCATTGATGTTTCTATCTCTCTCCCTCTCCCTTCCTCTCTGAATCAGTAAGAATATATTTGAGAGAGAGAAAGAGAAAGAGAGAGAGAGAGAGAGAGAAAGAGAGAGAAGTGTATATGTTTGTAAATAACAAAACATGTATTTGATGCTCTTAGAAAGTCTTATTTTCTTTCATTAAAACTTGTGCAGTATAGGGAACTCCATAGATTCTCTTAATTTGAAGAAAGTTAGAGGGAAAGGTACTAATTCAGAGTTCCTTGGGAAAATGTGTCACTTATATATTTTTTTATGTTTATTTTTTTTAAATCAAAAACTGAAATATTTTCTATTCAGAAAATATATTTGGATCTAAATATCTTCTATAATTTAAAACCTAAAATATCAATTTAAATATTTTAAAAATGGTTGGGATGTTTGTTTATTTTTAAATAAGTTAGGTTACTAAAGTTCTACATGTTACTGGATCACCTGGGGTAATTTTCTGATTGGAAAATTAAGAATTATAGTCAGAGGGGAGGACATGAGAATTTTTAAAGAACATATTCAATTTACTTTAGAAGCCAAACCTCTCTTATCATGTGACTTGTTTTGTATGTCTGTTAAACTATATTATCACATAAGCATTGCTGCTATTGGAACAAACAGTGACAGTTGACTCGGGTCATTTGAATGTCCACTGTCTGTTTTAATTTGTATGTTCGTTTTGACTCTGTCATATGCTCAAACTTCAGTGGAAGTCATGAGAACCTATTATTTTTGCCTGCTCCCTCCTTTACATTGGAAATATTCTTTTTTACTCAGAGGGACCTTAACTTTGATGTAAGGGATTGTTTCCGTTGCCAACTGTTTTCTTCCTTGCCAAGTAAGACAGTTGTGACTCTTCGTGATGCCTTCCCCAGGATATTGCAGATGTGGTTGGGAAAAGTCATCACATCCTCAACCTTTGCATCTCAGGTGCTGAGGTGCTGGGGGTGCCATGGCGATCACGGGGAAGCAGGCCAGCCCACACCCCACGCCCCGGGGAGTCCGGGGGTGCCGGCTGGCCTGCGCCCGGGCTCTCTCCCTCCGATCCACAATGCAATCACCGATCACCAGCCGCAGGCAGCCCGCACCCCCGGCCTGGGGTTGTTGCCTCGCCTGCCGCCAGGCTTTCCAATGGCGATCACCTGCTAGGGGGCGGGCAAAGGCGGCCGGCAGTGCCGCCTTTGCCCGTCCCCCACCTCTTGCCTGCTGCCTGGGTTTCCG